GACCCACTGGACTGTATGGGTGTCTACGCCACAGTCCCCCAGCTTCCTAATGAGAATGGGGTGAGAGACAGTGTCAAAAGCCTTCCTGAAGTCTAGGAAAACTATATCCACTGCCACCCCTGCATCCAATGATTTAGTGACCTGAAAGTTCACTAAAGTTTGTCATGACTTCCAGCAAAAGCTGAAAAGGGACAAATGAAATTTATACAGATCTAGGTCCAGTCATTTCCATATGAGCTACATTGTGACTTATACACCTTGGCTCACTGAATGGAGAAATACTCTATGTTATGCCAGCAGGAGGCTCAGTTTGATCTAGTTCATTGCTATCTAGTACCAGGGAGCCAAATTCCTTCAAAAGTTTGTACCATAGGGGGAAGTTCAGTGGTAGCACATCGTTCTGAGAAGTCAGAAATAGACAAACTTGTTACAGCACATGCACCGCACACACACACACAGGCAATTATATTTGATGCATTTTATATTGCTACAATCAATGGACTACCTCCCATGCTAGATATCAAAATTATTCCTTGGCTTTGAGGTACCATATTTACTCAAATACAAGATGACCCCAATTATAAGATGACTCCCCAACAATTACATTCTATATATGAAAAAAACTATACATTTAATATGATTTTCCAGGTATAGAAATCAGGGAAAAGTATCTGGTAGGTCAGGTAGCCTCTTTGCTCCCAAACTTCTTCCCCCTGCAGTTCCTTTCTCCAGTCATTACTGTCAGACCCTGCTCTCCCTGCGCACATGAAAATGAAGAACAAATTTGAAGAGACTGGAATTGAAATAACCATAGCTGTAGTAATTTGCATAAAGTACCCATAGACTTAGTTTATCCAGAATTAAAGGCATTTTATCCTTTTTGAAACTGCCTGGAGGCCTTGGAGTTTAGATCTCCCTATTCTCACCTGCCCCTAGCCAAAAGAATGAAGGAGCAAACTAGAGGGGAAACCCAAAAGCAATCCCCCATTTTCATAAATTGTTTAGCTTGAGATCCATGTTTGGAGGCTTTTTTTTTTTTTTAATTTCTTGTCTCAAGACAAATTAGCTAAATCAGTTCCAAACTCCACCCACTAGGCAGAGCTCAATTGTTCAAGTCTCTGTGGTGCTACCACTGGCAAGTATTCTCCACCCCTCTTATGCCTGGAGCTTCAGATACTCCCAAATCCATGGCAGGCACCCTACATACAGGCCCTGAGCCTGGAGGCCTTGGAGTTCAGAGTCTTGCTTGCCCATAGCCAAAAGGCCAAAGGAGCCAGCTAGAGAGAAATCCCTCATCTCCATAAAAATAAAGTGTGTAGCCAAGATCCTCCCATTGGGAGACTACAGTAGAGTCTCAAAGCAGCAGGAGCATTGGACAAGTCTCCACTCTTAACTACAAAACATCATTCAAGGTGATTTTGGCCTACACTTGATCTAAACCAAAGAACCAAGAAGTAGGATAATAAATCTAACTAGAAAGAGTAGCAAGGGATCCAGGGGTAGCTTTCCATGGATACAGTAAATGGCATTAAAAATGGAACGCTCTGAGAAGTAACTATGTTAAAAGAAATATCTTTACTGTGAGGTGCTCCCTATGTATTCAAGTCTCGTGTACTGACCTCAGCTGAAAAAGTGCTCTGCTAACTGTTTCACAACACCCCTGGGGGACCGAAGAAGATTCTATTCTAGTGTGTGTCTCAACAAGATAATGTTAACCATGTTTTGATTGAAGAAGTTACCTGTGTAACCCCAAATTAGGAGATGAACTAGATCAGGGCAGTTCAAGTGAGACCAAGGAAGCTGCACAGATCTAACGAAGGATATAATTTGAAGGCAATAGAGTTGCTAAGGTTTTAATAAAGGACAATGTTTGGTTTATACAACTCTTGTTATTGCTGATGATAACACATGAATTCAAAATAATTTAAGCCTTGAATTTACTGACAAAATTCTATAAAACAGGAAAAATGGATACTGAGCCACGCAGAAGGAATCACTTCTTTTGTAAAATTTAGAGATTTGTTTCCTGACCAAGAGAGCCAGGAACTTGCATTTTATTTCTAAATGAAAGGGTAGATTCTCTAGTAAATGATGGTTTGGGCTGCCCCAATCATCAGGGAAAGCTTTCCACTTGCTGCAGTCTTTCAAACACTGTTTGTTATTGTATATTATGGGTCAAACTTGTATATATACACTGCATGACTGATTAGGGCTTGCTGGTCTCTAGGATTCACAGAAGAATCACATATTTCATATCATGATCTAGCCCAGTGAACATTTAAAAGAATATATTCAGTTCTAACGGTGTTATTCTGTTAATGACAAATAGTAAAAGAGCAAGCCAAAGGCCAAAAGAAATAAAAAAATCTTTGTACAAACATACAAAACAGAGTACTGCAGATATCACTGCATTGCTGTACAGTCACTGAAACATTTTAGAGAGAGGAATGAATGCATTCTTTGATCAGTAAGTCAGTACAGAAAGGGTAAAAGGCTTACCAAGAGATCCTCTTGTAGTTGCTCTGTTCTATCCTCTTTCAGTAATATACGGGAGAGATAGCATTCACAGGCAGATATCACATCTCCACACACCTCGTTCAGTAGCTCCTATTTCAAGATGAAAACAAATCAATTCAGTAATCACTAAAGAAGAGAACCATGGGCAAGACATACTCCACATATTAGTCTTGAATTTCAAAACCTTCCTTTAGGTTCCCAAATAAGATTTCTGGGAAGTGTCCCCTCTTTCCACCTTAGCCTCCTCACACTGAGCAACCTAAAAAGAAAAGGGGACTGGATGGCAAAAGGAAATGACATGCAGAACTTTCCACTGGTAAGTTACAGCTTCTCCAAGTTCTCTCATTGTGCAGACCATGCAAAAGAAAGATCTTCACAGAAACTAGTACTACCAGCACCCCTGGCCTTTTTTTCCCCCCAGATGTTTTATTAGCATAATTTGAGAACCGCTGTCATCTACTTTCATTTCCTGGAGTCCAATGAAGATGAATAATGAAGAAATAAATCGATAGAATCTACCTGGAATGTGTTTGTAACCTCAGTCTAACTCACTCTGAACAAATGCCTAAGGTAACCAAATAGCAAAAAAAATCACTACAATGAGATCTCCTGCTAGGATTTACAGCATTTCTTTAAAAAGGCCAAATTAGGAGATTTCAGTTTAAAATACTGCACCCTCCCAAAGAAAGCGGAATTCTTTCAAACCCATCGTTGATCACAAGCTACATCTAGCACTGATGCTATATTGTTAGACAGTTAAACAGAAAAGGTGCAATTTTCTGGAGTCAGAGCCTCTTTGTTTAGTGCGCTAGAGGAACCTGCAATTTCCTGAGATGAGCTGTCTTCGGGAAGACAGCCCTTGTGAAAAACAGGAAAAAGGCTGTTTTAAAAGTGTGTCCCAAGTCCCACCTGTGTCTCCTCAGGGGAATTTGAATACGCATGGCAGAGCTTCTGCAGAGCCTCCACAGCTGGGCTGATCACCTCCAGGGGACACCGAAATTCCTTCAGCCAGAGCTTGATATCATCTGGAACATAAGCCAAACACTTAACACAGGCAATTCTCAGTTCACCAACTATTTGCAAAGATAGCTGGGCTGGAAGTCAAAGTCAAACCCTGTGCTTCCTAAGCCCAGGTTCCCAGGAGGACTTACCAGTGAGCCTCCCTTGGGTGCTTCTCGGAAGGTGCTTTGCAACATGCCCTATTACACACAGGATATGTCCTATGGTATCAGCGCTGACATTCTGCTCCCTGAAAAACAGTCAAGGGGATAAACAGAAACATTTCCTCAAGAACCAACACTTGGCTAGAGTAAGAAAACAAGTATTTCCTGGATAATGCATGGTGAAAATGGGATTGTTAGACTGGATGAAAACACAGTAGAGGCTTAAAGCAACTTCATGGCCCTAAATGACTGGGCTCTAGTCAAAATTAGTGGGTCTTCTCAGCCTCCTGTATGGAAGCAGCAGGAACATAACTTAAGCACTTCAGTTTGAACAGCAAAAAAACACCTGTTCTCTTGGCTGCCTTCTGCATGCCGCTCTACTGATGAATAATAATTAAGATGGAGGCACACACACCTGTTGACACTGTCCCAAGATTCAATTATCTTGGAGTAATCCAACTTGGGAGAGGAACCTGCTACCTTGGCAAGCAACATCCAGGCTGGTACAGCATGCTCCGTTTCCACATGGGACATAACATTATTTATGAAGGTGGAGGAGAACTTGTCCTGCTTGGACCAGATCTGAAAAGCTTTGTTTAAGTACCGGCTGCAAGGAGACAAAAAGGATAGGGAAAAAAAAGAACGTAAGCAAGGTACAGGCAAACTAACTGGTATTGTGATCAGTTATTAAAGGCCACTAACTCCAGACTGTTTGGACGTTACAAAAACAGGCAACACAGTGGAGCCAGCTTTAGAGATGGTTACCTGGGCAAAACTGTTTCATTCTGACTGTTCACTATAAATTGGGATTTCCACTATCCACGAATCTCCCAGACATTTACCATCTGTCCTCCAAATTCCAGTTGATAACATTCAGAAGCACACAACAATTCTGTTAGATGTTACATTTAATACTACCCACTTCATTTCACTGCAACGTAGGGCCATGTCTGCTCTACATATGAACTGGGAAGCTTAACTTCAGTATCACAGAGAAAAATACTTTTTAGAAGTTTTTTTAGCAAACATTCACAAAAGGAGAGGAAAATAACTGTTACTAAAGCACAGATGTTGGGGGGGGATCTTAGTTTATCTAATTTCTGGCAATTTCCTGTATGCTACTGACAATTTAATGTGTCCAAGTTTCCTTATATGTCAATGAAGGAGAAGAGAATCTCTTCACCTAACCTTGAGATATTCTAATGCCCTTACTGCTTATGAGATGCTTTGAGATCATCAGCAGGAGATGCTATAAAGTGCAAAACATATTAGAAAGTAGTCCAAATTAGAATAACATGCCAGTTTTAAGTTGTTAAGTAGCATAACCATCATCTCAGGTTTCTATTTCAGAACTATTTAACCCTGTTGACTAAAAAACATAAGGTTCCATTAATCAGTGTTGTATCCCTGTCATGTTGCATGTCATCACATATCTTTTGGTACTTCCCACAGCATTCTGTAAAAGGCAAAGTTGCTATTAGTCATAAGACAAGTAACATATTGTATACCAAAATGAAGCAAAGAGTGATGTACTCTCTTCTGTATAAATATATGCATGGTTACTTGTCTCATCACCACACTCATTTAACCTAAACAAGCTCCTAGCAACAAACCAAAAGAGATGCCACATGTGCCATTATCCTGTCTGAACACTGGAGTTCAGGGAAAGACATCAAGAATAAGTACAAAAAAGTTAGTGTCTGATAGGCAGCAGAGCTGTATTGTGCTCACCGACTGCCAACCCAGAAATACATGGCTATTGATCTGAAGGCCAGCTGTACCTTTCTTATGAAAGAAGGCGCTCACAATATAGCAGTAACAACAACACAGACAATATATTTAATAATAAGATACACTTACATTTTTACATATGGATTTCCAATTGCTGAATAAGCATGAATAATAAATCAAGCCTCACTGTGCCTATGTACGATAGATGTCATATCTATTATAGCAAGACACACAAAGGTTTGTAGTCACACTTCGTGGCAGCACTAAGTACCTCATATATGAGCCTCAGCACTGTGAGGGATATCACTCTCCTGACCCTGGATCAGTATGACCCAATCCAAGCATTTTTCTGTATATATGGGGGTAACACCAAATACAAATATCTACTGAAAAGGTGAACACAGCTGGGAGCTGACTTGCAAGCCACATGAAAGTGCAATTCCTTTCATTGACAAAAAAAAGGCTATGCGCCTGACCTACCTGAATTCCTGGCTCTCTGAAGTAAAGAGGGTAAGAAGATCCCAAGCTAGAGTTTGGTTTCTGTCTTCATGGCTGAATCTATTATAGTGTTTAATGTTCTGCAACAAGAGCTGATCAAGACAAACCAAGGCCTTTTCTTGTACAGAGCTTTCAGTGTCCATCACAACGGGTACCACACCTGCTAACCAGGCTTTCTGAATCAGAATATTGCTGGGCTGAGACTAAAGAAAAGAAGATTTTGTATTAGAAGCACTTCGAAATTTGTAGCCTGACAAAGGGTTTTTAAACCTGAAAGCTCGCTAAGAAAATGTTTTCCAACTATTTAGTTGGTCTATTAAAAGATATCAGATTTACCCAAAGAACCTTGTCTTGAAATTAGTAAGGCATTTCAGATGTTTGGCTGAGATTAATAAAAGTCAGACACACTGACAGACTTAAATGAATTAGAAAAGAAACATAAGCATACAACATACTGTATGCTGAAAAAAGGTTTAAAAGCATCCAGAAGAAATGGACTTAGTTCTCTCTGTTGCTACGAGTTGCCAAATACTGCATTTGTTATCAAAGTATCTTACGTTCCTACTGATCTAAGGTGTTGTAATACTTATTCAAGTCTAAAAATCAACACAAAAATGTCCCATTAAAGCATTATAGAAGGCATTTTAAAGCCAGCACCAGAGAGTTTTGCCTAATATAAAATTTGTGTTTTGATCCTAATGTATAAAACTTTTGCAAATAAATATCAAAAGTAGAAAAAGAGTATTTGGTAACATGATCCACATGTCTAAATGCCCAAGCAAAGAGATTCAGACCTCTCTATTTAGCCTAAGACAAACAATAGAAATGTATAAATTTTGCTCCATGAAAAATAAATCATGATCCAGAAAGAGACTGAAATGTATAATACAAGCCGTTACTGTCTATACGAATGAGCTGTGTCTTGCATGTCAAAAAGGTAATAGAAAGTTAATGATAGTCTAAAGAAATGTAATGGGAAAAAAGTGACAAGTCATTAAACAATTGTCTTTTCCCCCCTTTCCTTTCAATAAAGTAATGCTCTGCCCATCTCAGGTCTGCATAAACGTTTTTCGTTAATTTTCCTCACCATAAGGAGCTCTGTAATAGCCTGCAGTGCTTGCTTCCGAACCGAGATGGCAGGATCACGGCAGCGATCTTGAATAGTGGACAAGTCCTCTGGGGTACAAGGAATCACTCGGTACTTCAAGATGCTCATAAAAACCTAGATGTTAAACCCAACATTAGGAATTCAATGAGTGTATATCTAGTTGTAAATTAAATATTGAAGGCACACCCAGGTTTTACAATTTTAATCTGAAATTTCAGAGATGTCACCAAGGAATGTAAAAAAAAAATTAAAAAAAAAAAATTAAAGTTGGGGCGGACACTCTGCCCTTTCATGTTCAGTCATTGTAACAGCACTTTGCATAAAGTCCGCTTCCCCTTTCCCTCTGTATACTCAACTCTCTTTTGTGTGGGTTTTTCACACAGGAGTCAGAGAAAAAACACATTCAAAAACCCCATAACAATACAGATATTAAAACACAATCTATAAAGAACTGTGAACTGTAGGGCAGGAGTTATTATCCATCATTTTCTTTTTAAAGCATCAAAGAGAGACTTCACTTTAAACCCTATCTAATTACTGTAATATTTTTTTAAAAAGACAACTTATGCCTCATTCTTCAGCTGAAGCTGGATAAAGTATAGTTTCTTTGTAAACAAGCTCATGTGTTCTAAACTAAACTAGCCTAATCAACCAAATAATAGGTTTCAGTTGACAGATCAAATTAAATGCCCACTGACATAGGAAGCCCTTTTTCTAAATGATGGAGTAAGTGAACTTCAGCAAGAGTATTGGCACTCACTGTTCTTCACCACTGAACTTGTTTCATGAATGAATCAAAGATTTTTTAAGACCAGCCTGCAAAGTACAAGATTAGCTAAATGAGGTCATGATTCTCTCTAACTGTCGGCTTTGTGAAAGGCCATGATCCTTCACTGAGCTCTGTGTGGCCAAACACAGTTCATGCAGTTGACTACAGGACCGTGATCTACATGTCTATGGTAAGGCTCTCACTCATGCATACGTTGAGTCCTCTGTGGTTCAGTGGTAAAGCCCTTGTCTACCACGCAGGAGATCTGTGTTCAGTTCTCGAATGTTTATACAACTACAGCTATGGAGGCACCAATAGTCTGGACTCAGTCTGGCCTTTGGATTCTGCTTCAATGCCCTGAAAGGGGGATGGAAGGTCTGGGCAGCCTCCATTCCTCCATACATCTGCCAAGGCATATGCATCAAATATATGGGTGACCTCTCATGCATACACCATGATCCAGAAGGGTTGACAATTGCCGAACCAACATGAATACTTGAATTATACCTGGTCACTAGAAATGCAAATAATTGAATACCTATGTGTTTAGTTTTTTTAGTACCATTATTGAAATTATTCTGGACTCCTGTGTAGGATTTGTTTTTATGGTGGGTCTTTCTTTTTTGGTGACATGTTGGTCTTTCAGTAGGTAGGGACCTACCAAAATTGAGACAGGCAGACAATTTCATAGGCCAAGTGCAGTGCTTGCCACTGTTTTTGTGGTTTTTTGCAGTGAGGCCCCCCCCATGCCACTGACTGGCTGAACAGCCCTGGTTGTGACCCTGCCCCTCACCACTGATTGCTGAGAGGGCTGCCATTCATATGGTTCCACCCCTTACCGCTGATGGGTGGAGAGGAGCATAGCTGCATAATGGGCAGCCCTTGGCCAATCTGTGGCAAAGGGAAGAGGGGGTGGCTGCCATGTTGGCCCACTAGAAAGCCAGCATTTTATTTTCAGCAAGGTGTCCCCCTCCTCAACAATTTTTGCAAGGAACACTGCTTTTTGTGGAAACTGCCCCAAATCATAGTTTCCACAAAAAAAGCAAAATTGCAATTTGAAGAGCTCCCTAATTATAGATGTCTCGGATATCCGGACATTTTGAATACATAAGAACAGGGAATGGTCCTTTGGGGTTCAGATAAACACTGTCAACTGTATTTTAACAGTATTCTCAGATAACACTATTACAGCAGTGTGCAGGAAACATACCTGGAGTGCCGACTTCCTGACATTTGTCTTCTCATCTCCTGCTCTCAGTCTTAACATAGTTATGATTTCTTTCCCTATTCATGGGATTAACCAGAAAAAAAAAAGTCATGGTATCCAACAGGGACAGAGTTTACAATACTGCCATGTAGTGCTGACAGGACAACTAACATACTATGACCTGGAACAGCACAGATCAGTTCAGTATCAGCTACTACCAGAGAAACAACATGAAATTGGACAGGTAGGATTTCAGAGTGGTGCACAAAACATCAGTGAATTAAACCTATCAATCCCCTACAATGTCAGGAAATAATAATACACGTTAGAGACGGGAGGGAAATTGTAACAGGCCAGCAAGTGGCTTCTTTGCGGTTGACTTCACTAAGTAGCAAAGAAAAAGCAGAATCCAGAAGACCCTCGAGGGCAGCAGGAGGACACATACAGGAGTACTGCATGATTAAACTAGGCCAAAAGCCTACTTTTTCCTTGCCTACACCGAAACACACTTTACCATATTCTTAGAGACATGATGTACATTCTACAAGTACATTTGCTAATTGCCACATATAACTGGTTTGTTGTACTGTCAGCTATAGCGCTCAACACACAAGTTACCAACATTTGAACACTAAAACTCACTGCTGGCAAATTGGCTTCAACGCTCCTTTTACCTTGATTTTTCTGGGCTCCCTAAACAGGAATTTCCTACTTACACCATCTTTTTTCCCCTAAGCATACTTTCCCCCAACAAAACGGTGTTTCTTTAACACATGCCCAAGTTGAATCTTTGCAGATTATAGCAGCACTGCTTAGGGTCTGGTAAGGGGCCAATCTAAACCCATTTGCAGTCATTGACTGTGATAGACTTTGAATTGGGCCTCACATGGCTTTTTTGAATGGGCAGCTACATTCTCCAATTGACTCCAGCTACTAGGAGGCCTGAAAATGTCAGATCTTTTTATTGTGAGACAATGCCTCAGTGGCAAAAAAGTTTCACTGGGAGAAGTTATTCCACAACAAACTCATTTATTATGCGGTGACCAAATTGGCTAAAGTAATTGTGCTCTTGGTAAGTGCCAGTACAGCAGACAGAAATAATGCTGTGGTGACCTTTAGCAAGCTGGGGACTAACAAGGTAATGAATATAATGCAGCTGATATGGTACATAATCAGGCTCAGCATACTCTCTAACACGCATTTGCTTTGGAGCCAATATTCTCATTCTTGCCTTTTGCACTCGTGAGTTTTGTAACATTTTAACTAGAAGTGGCTAAGATTTATTTTCACTCTAAAATATGAGCTGTTTGGTCCTTATGAAAGTGAGAAATTAGCACAGGCTTGAGCCAAACATAATGCATGCCAGACAGCTCTGGTAATACACCTCAACTCTGACTCACGCGTCCGTGATATTTCAGCTTGCCTCTACAGCATGTGGAGGCCTTTGTATCTAGTTATTTTTTTAAAAACTTGTTAAGTGCCAAATGTACTCTTGGAGAATGAAGGGAATTTTAAAGGACAAAAGACAAAACACTCCTTACTACACAGACCCCATCGTCCAAATAGAGGAACACATTATTCATCAAGCAGACCAAAGGAAATTTCTATCTTAGAGAGTTGATTAAAAATACATATATATAACCAAAAGTGTTTTAAGTAAGTATTTGAATAGGGAAGGTGGGAACCTGGTTCACTGACGGAGGTAGATCTCATTTAGGGAGCAGCATGGGATGAATCAAG